CAATCGAGAAATCACCACATCCATACTCTGCAAAGTAGCTCCAAAAACACTCCCGCTTGCCACTTGAACTTGAGATAAATCCAAAGGAATCTCCAACTCAAGCTTACCACACAAATGTGCAGCTCGTAGGTCAGCCTCAGTCAGCGTCAAACCCTTAACCAGAAAAACTGGACAAAAGGAGCGTGGAGTATCTTCATTGACTCAAAGAACATCTTCATCAATCAACACCACCTGTGTAGTTGCTTTAGGTTTTTTTAGTATACTGGCGGACACTTTTTATGCTTTCCTCTTCCCTTCACGAGAAGAAAGCTCAGTCACAAAAGACATAACCTCCCTAATGGACGAGCGTATAGGACTCCCCTCCACATCACGAAGGACGATCCCCGAGCCAACCTTTTCTTCCATCACCACCAGAGAAGACATATCTGAGTCCCTTGCTTGGTTAGCAGCAGCCTTCCCCCCTATTTCCTTCTTTTTGTTCATAGTTCTTGAAACCTTTTTGGTGAGCCTCAACACATCCTTCCCCATTTCGCCAACTGTAAAGATAAGAGTTAGAAAATGGACAAAAGGATATACATGCATGCACAAGAATATAGTGGTATCAAACAATAAACACCTCTCGAACAGCCTCACCTCCGTTTTCAATTATATATTTTGTGGAAATTTCCTCCCTCATTTCCTTTACAACAGCTTTGAGTCATGCAGCTACCACACGCTCAGCTTTAGTCAGAGATATATACTTCACAAAATAATCATGAGGGTTAAATTCATAATGCGACTGATTCCAAAAAATAAGAAATTGAGTTTGTCCGGCAGTTGCAGTCTCCATAAAGAAAGGCTGAGGGTTCAAGTTGGGATCGGGTGAAACCTAGAAGAACTGATGCTTAAAATTTTTGTGAGAATTATTGAATTATGTGAAAAGAGTCCCCACCTTACTCGAAGCCTGCAGGGAAACCCAAGAAGGACTAACAGAAAAATAATAAAAGAAAAACAATAAAAGAAAAGAGTAATGCTATACTCCTACATGAAATAATCACAATCAAGTTGAAATGCTCGAATAAAACCCTATGCGTTGGGATAAAGCTGTGAAAGTGCCACCCTTAGGTGCTGAAGAACGCCCATCTCGAAATCAGTGAACGACGGCCTAAGTCTGATATCAGTAAAGTAAGTCTTATAAACAAGGAATGAAGGCCCTTACCTCCAACTGGACTAGCTTGATCACAAATCCTAGTTTCCCCATCAACAGCTAGAAGAATCCACTTCTTCTCCTCAGCACCCCGATCGATAACCCAAAAATGGTTCTCATATGTGTAAGCGCTCTCCAAAATAAGCCCATTATTAAAAATCGAAGCAGTCGCAGAGCTTCTAAATTCGCCCAATCCACTGCCATATGAAAATTTATTTTATATATCACTTTACCTAGCAGTAAGTTGCGGAATGACTGTCATTCGATAAACCTAGGGGAGGTAAGATAAAGAAGGTCAACTTCTCATTGAAAAGTTTGTGAAACCAAACCAACATACTAATAATAACTTAGGCTAGTTATGACCACCTTCACTCCCCCACATAGGCTGTTATCCTAATTGATCGCCATGACTACCTCAACACAATTACAAACAGAAAAGATACAGCTTATGACATACCTGAAAGATCACTAGAAGAGTCAGTGGAAGAACTCGAATCAGAACTGATCAGCTCACTAGGAAACCAAGCTGGTGGAACTTTATCTAACCGCAAGTCTGATATGCCTCCAGCATATATATAAGTCTAAGCCAAAAAGAGAAAGAATATTGATTAATCTTGAATAAAAAGGCAGTATTTACTGTTTAATTTTTAAAATCTCAAACAAAGATTGTGATACTAATTTTCTTTTGATTTCGTTGGAAAAATAAACAAACTGGAGCCAAATTGGAAATTACCAAACTGAAGGCCCACGCTGATAGCGTGGGTGTGGCGCTGACAGCGTGAAGGGGCCTTTTCATACAGAGACATCCACTTTACTAGCGTGGAACTCACGCTAGTAGCACCAGAGTTCAAAAACAGCCCGAGAGATCCACGTTACTAGCGTGGAACTCACGCTAGTAGCGCCGGACCTTCCTGCAAGCCACACTCACAGCGTGGGAACCACGCTAGTTGCGTGGAACTCCAGTATTGTGAACAAAACTACCACGCTCACAACGCGAGAACCACGCTAGTGGCGTGAGAAATGCGAAAAATCAATATTAAATCTTTTTCAGTATCAGCGGAAGATTAAACAGAGATTTTAAATGAAGATTCAATCAAGATTTCTACACAAGGTCAAAAACTCTATAAATAAAGACTTAGACTCTCAGAGAAAAACATCTTTGGCTGGAGCAAATTGCGAGGATCAGAGAATTGAGAGAATTCTTGGAGACTCGCGCTGGAGATCAGGATTCCACTGAAGTTGAAGGTTGAAGACATTGAGTTTTTATTCTTCTTCTTCTTTTCTTCTTTATAGTTTATGAACAATTTTTCTTTTTATTTGTTTAAGTTATACATGAACATGTCTGGCTAATTTCTTTATGTAGTTGGAATCACGGACCCGATGTGAATCCTTTTATATTTTCTGTATTGTTATTTTATGATTTAATTAGTTAGTTTGTTTTATTCTACCTGGTTTAATTTTTCCATATCCTATTTAGAACACAATAGACATATTCGAGTTTTAATCCAGACAGGGGTAGAATAACAATTTGTGTATGATCTAGACATAGGCTTACATAAATTGCAGACTCATAATTCATTTGCTTAAGGCTTAATTCAAGAAGGATCACTAAGACATTAGGGTTTTAATTGGGTTAAAGGGTTGAAATCACTAAGACATTAGGGTTCAACTATTTTATAGGGAAATAATGAATTGTCTGAACAATCGAATTAATTATTTATAAAATACAATATAGGAATATAAGGGAGGATCAGAGGTAAAGTGTATCATGGCTACAGTTTCGTTACGAATTTTTCATCAATCTTCTCTTCGCGTTCTTGATCTTTTCTTGCATGCGTAGAAAATTAATTGTTATTTCAATTCTGTTTTTAAACATAATTATTTTAAATTCTGTTTTGGATTTTCCAACTCAATTATTTCACAACACAAACGATTTTTCTGTTCCAAATTAAAGGGAATAGTTAAACTAGTACTTGGTGCCTCAATTCTCGTGGGAACGATACTTTTCTTATCACTTTATTACTTGGAACGATCGGTATACTTGCCGATTACGCAACAAGTTTTTGGCGCCGTTGCCGGGGATTGAATACGCCAATATTAGTTTTAACTTTCGATCTTTGAGATTGGAATTTTTCTTTTATTTTTGTTACTAAAAGATTTCTTTTCTTTTTATGCGAGGTAAAGCTAACAAGGAACTTTTACAGTTTGATCCAGAAATCGAGAAGACTGCTAAGAGGAATCGGAAGCAAACCAGAGCAAGAAAGATAGAAGAATCCTCGAGTTAAGTGCCGAAAGCCGAACCCGAGATGGCCGCTAATAATCAACCACCTCCTGCAGAGGAATTGATGGAGTCCATTTTGGCTCCAATGTTTACACAGCCGAATTCAAGCATCATCCGACCACCAATCATCGCCAATAATTTTGACATCCAGCCAGCACTGATAAACTTGGTTGAGAAAAATCCATTTGGCGGAGAAGACTATGAAGACCCCCATGATTTCATGGACAGATTTCTGAGAATCTGTGATACAACCAAGCATAATGGGGTGTCCGATGATGCAATTAAACTCAGACTATTCCCTTTTGCTATAACAGGGAAAGCTCTGAGATGGTTGGATAGACAAACCCCCAACAGCATCACAACGTGGGATGATTTGGCTGCTAAATTCTTTGCAGAGCACTTCTCCAGGGAGAAATACAACAAGTTGGTGAATGAGATCACCAACTTCACTCAACATCCGGGAGAAACTTTATGTGCAGCTTTGAACAGGTTCTAAGAATTGATCAGGAAGTGTCCCCAGTACGACTTGCCAGACAGAAAGAAGGTCAGAGTCTTCTATAACAGAATGACGCTGGAATCCAGGATGGTGATCAATGGTGCAGCTAGAGGAACCATAGCAAAGAAGACAGGAGCTGAAACTTTAGAGTTAATTGACTACATGGAAAGAGCTGAAACAATGATGCATCACTTGCAGAACAAAAGATCTTGTCTCAACAGATAGCTAGTTTGAATACAAAGTTGGACAAGTTGCAACTTTCTAAAGCTCAAATTGATACAGCTGCCGAAGTTAACTGTGAGTATTGCCAAGAGAAGCATGATTCTAACATGTGCCCAACACTGGTGGGATCAGATGCTTTACAAGTCAATGGAATCTGGTACGAACCAAAATCACAGCAGAATTATGGAAGAAACTAGAACAGTGCTCCAGGAAATAACTTCCAAAGGAGAGTGCAAGGAACATGTTTGGATTACAAATCCAACAACTATTTGCAACCTCCACCAGTCCCATAAACTCCAACATCTGAACTGGAGAGAGCACTGATACAGTTGACGAAAAATACTAACACATTCATGAATGAGACAAGGGCTCATCACACAAACCAGGATGCATCTATGAGAAACTTGGAAAACCAGATAGGCCAACTGTCAAGGCAGCTTGAAGAAAGAACTAAAGGTCAGTTTCCAAGCAACACAATAATTAATCCGCGAGAAGATTGCAAATTAATTGTTACAAGAAGCGGAATTGTTATCACTCCTCAAGAAAAATTGAAGGTGGTTCAGCAAAAGAAAGCAGACGAACCAGTTCTTGAACCAGTGATAGAAAAAGAGGAGGAAACACCTGCAAAGGAAGACAAAGAGGAAGCAAAGAAGAAAGCTGTAGAGACTCCAAAGAAGCAATGAGATTTCTCTCGCTTTGAGAAACCACCTTATCCCATAAAGTCAAGGCAAGCACAGAAGCAACAACAAGCTAGGTTTTCAGAAATATTTAAAAAGTTGCAAATTAATATCCCTTTTGCTGAAGCTTTAGCTAACATGCCTAACTATGCTAAGTTTATGAAAGAACTCTTGTCTAGAAAGCATAAGTTGCAGGAATGTGACACAGTTGCTCTCACGGAAGAATGTAGTGCAATAATCCAGAAAAAGTTTCCACCAAAGTTTCAAGATCCAGGAAGTTTCAACATTTTGATTGCGATAGGCAACATTGATGTTGGCCGGGCATTGTGTGATCTGGGAGCAAGAATCAACCTTATGCCGCTGTGTGTGATGAAAATTCTCGGAATCTCCGAGTTGAAGCTGACAACATTTTCACTCCAACTTGCTGATAGAACATTGAGAAGACCAAACAGAGTAATAGAAGACGTACTTGTTAAAGTGGACAAGTTCATCTTCCCTGCTGACTTCGTAGTCCTTGACATGGACGAAGGAGGAGAAATGCCTCTTTTGTTGGGTAGGCCATTCCTTGCTACAGCAAGAGCCTTGATAGATGTGAAAAACGGAAAGCTGGAATTGAGAATGGATGACGAAAAAGTCACCATCGATGTGTTCAAAGTTATGAAGCATGCAGGAGATAATGATGACTGTTTTCGGGTAGACATTCTTGAAGCACTCCTCCTTGAAAAAGAAGATGATCAGACTCTTGAAGAAGAGAAATAATTCTTTGATGAAAACCGTCCGAAGGAAGATGCTGAAATTCCCACAGAGGAGTTGAAAAAGAAAGAGTCAAACACAATAAAAGAAGCACTTAAGGTGGAGCTAAAAGAGCTTCCATCCAATCTAAAATACATTTTCTTAGGAGATGAAGAAACGTATCCTGTCATCATCAATAAAGAGCTGTCTGAGACTGAAGAGTCAAAGTTGATAAAAGTACTCAAAGACCATCAAACAGCCATTGGATGGTCCATCTCCGATCTAAAAGGAATCAATCCTTCCTTCTGCACTCACAAAATACTAATGGAAGATAACATCAAACCTGCGAGACAACCTCAGAGAAGACTAAATCCTACCATGAAAGAGGTGGTTCGGAAAGAAGTGGTAAAGCTCCTTGATGCCGGCATGATCTATCCAATCTCAGACACTGCATGGGTAAGTCCTGTCCAAACAGTGCCAAAGAAAGGAGGAGTTACAGTGATCAAGAACGAGAGCAATGAACTGATCCCCACCAGAACCATAATAGGGTGGAGGATGTGTGTGGATTACAGAAGACTAAATGATACCACACGAAAAGATCACTTTCCTCTCCTTTTCATTGATCAGATGCTGGAATGGTTGTCCGGACATGCATATTACTGTTTCCTAGATGGTTACTCCGGCTACAACCAGATACCTGTTGCACCAGAGGATCAAGAGAAGACAGCTTTCACTTGTCCCTTTGGAGTGTTCGCTTACAGAAGGATGCCATTCGGCCTTTGTAATGCGCCTGCTACTTTTCAAAGGTGCATGTTTTCCATCTTTTCTGATATGATTGAAAAATCATTGGAGGTATTTATGGATGACTTTTCTATATTTGGTTCTTTCTTTGATTCTTGCTTAGTTAATCTAACTAAGGTCTTGAGGCATTTTCAAGAAACAAATTTGGTTTTAAACTGGGAAAAGTGTCATTTTATGGTAAAGGATGTGATAGTATTAGGCCATAAGATTTCTGAAAAAGAGATAGAAGTTGATAAAGCTAAACTGTTATTAATTGAAAAACTTCCCCCTCCTTCTATTGTGAATGGTGTTCGAAGCTTCTTAGGACATGCAGGTTTTTACAGACGATTCATCAAGGACTTCTCCAATATTGCGAAACCATTGAGTCAACTGTTGGTGAAGGACTCTGAATTTAAAATTGATGAAGAATGCCTGAAGTCCTTTAACCTGCTGAAGGAAAAGCTGACAACCACGCCTGTCCTGATGGCGCCTGATTGGAACCTTCCTTTTGAGCTCATGTGTGATGCAAGTGCGTACGCAATAGGAGCGTGATTTACTATGCTAGCAAGGTTTTAAATGAGGCACAAGTGAATTATGCCACAACTAAAAAAGAAATGCTAACCGTAGTATATGCATTAGATAAATTTAGACCTTACCTGATAGGATCTAAAGTTATTGTTTTTACTGACCACTCTGCATTAAAGTATCTCATGAGTAAACAGGATGCAAAGCCACGACTGCTACGTTGGATGCTTCTTTTCCAAGAATTTGATCTGGAGATTAGAGACAAGAAGGGAGTTGAAAACAAAGTGGCAAATCCCTTGTCAAGGATTCAAGTTAAAGAACTGCAAGATGGACCTGAGATTGAAATAAAAGAATCCTTCCCTGATGAACAAGTAATGGCAATTCGATTCGTGCCATGGTTCGCAGAATTTGCGAATTACAAGGCTGTAGGATCAATTCCTGAAGAACTCACATGGCAACAGAAAAAGAAGTTCCTGCATGATGCAAAGCGGTATTACCGGGATAACCCTTACTTATATTTTCAATGTGTTGATGGGATTATTCGCAAGTGTGCAGCTGAGATGGAAATTCCGAAGATTCTGTGGCATTGCCATGCTTCAGATTATGGAGGACACTTTGGTGGAAATAGAACCGCACAGAAGGTCCCACAAAGTGGATTTTATTGGCCCACAATCTTCAAAGACTCAAAGGAGTTTGTGGAGAAGTGTGACAGATGCCAGAGGACGGGAAACATATCCCGAAAAGATGAGATGCCGCTGAATTGCATACTGGAAGTGGAAATCTTTGATGTATGGGGTATTGACTTCATGGAACCTTTCCCTTTGTCATACTCCAACCAATACATCTTGGTTGCTGTGGACTACGTGTCCAAGTGGGTGGAAACAGTGGCCTTATCGACAAATGATGCTCGGGTAGACGTGGCCTTCCTACAGAGAAACATCTTCACCCGATTCGGAGTTCCAAGAGCCATCATCAGCGATGGAGGAACCCACTTCTGCAACAAACAATTTGAGGGTCTTCTCAAGATGTACGAAGTCACACACAAAGTGGCCACACCGTATCATCCTCAGACAAGCGGACAAGTGGAGATTTCCAATAGAGAGTTGAAGCGAATCCTCGAGAAAACTGTGAGCCACACAAGAAAGGATTAGGCAAAGAGGCTTGGCGATGCACTCTGGGCATACAGAACAGCCTTCAAGACTCCCATAGGTATGTCACCATTCCAACTGGTGTACGGTAAGTCCTGTCATCTCCTAGTTGAGTTAGAACATAAGACTATCTGGGCAACTAAATTTCTAAACTTTGAACCAACTAAAGCTAATGAAAAAAGATTACTGCAATTACATTAGTTGGATGAGTTCAGGTTAGTTGCTTGTGAGAATGCCAGGATCTACAAAGAAAAGACAAAGAGGTGGCATGACAAAAAGATAACTCCAAAGGAATTTGAGACAGGACAACAGGTATTATTGTACAATTCTTGACTGAGATTGTTTCCAGGTAAACTTAAATCCCGTTGGTCAGGTCCTTTTGTTGTGAAAAAGGTACACCATTTATGGTACAATAGAAATTTCTCCTATAGACATTGATAATTCTTTCAAAGTTAATGGCTGTAGGCTGAAATTATACTATGGAGGGCAGGCGAATCGGGATAAAATTTCTGTCCCTCTGGCTTCACCTGAGTCTTAAAATGTTCACGTGAGGCTCGTGACGTTAAACAAGCGCTTACTGGGAGGCAACCCAGTAACAAAGGTTAAGTTTTCTTGTTTTAAGTTTATTCTAGGTTAGATAAAAAAAATCAAAAATAATGGTGAATAGAAGTGATAAAAAGCAACCAGGAAAAATTTGGGAACTGGCGCTACTAGCGTCAGATCCACGCTGGTAGCGCCATAAAGCAATTAGAGACGGTGAGTTTCACGCTAACAACGCCATGGTGGCTCTGAAAGCGTGAGAAATTTGCAAAGAATTCCACGCCATCAGCGTGGATATGGTGCTCTCAGCGTCAGAAAGCAAAAAGAGACAGTGAGTTTCACGCTCACAGCGTGAAAACCACGCTGTCAGCATCGAAAGTTCACGAAAGACTCACGCCAAAAGCGTGAATTCCACGCTGAGAGCGCCAAAAAGGGCAAAAAGAGACAGTGAGCTCCACGCTCATAGCGTGGGGTCAAATTTAAAAAATGAAAAAGTTAAAACCCTAATTTGTCCCTTCCCCCACTAACCTAATAGCCGCTCTCTCTCTCTCTCTCCCTCTTCTCTCTTCCCTTCTTCTTTTTCATCTCTTTTTCTCTCTCTCCTAGCCACCGTTAACCACCACGGTCCACCACCTATCGAAACCCCACACCACCGGTCATCATTTTCCTTTCTCATAGCCGTCACTCCCTCTCTTCTCTCGCACCCTCTCTCTCATATCACTCTATCACCTCTCCTCACCGCACACACCACCGCAAACCACCATTCAACCTTCCACTCCCAAACCTTCGATCACCACACAGCCACACCACCACCAGTTATCATCTTCTTCTCTAAACTCTCACGAACCTTAACCACCGGTCTCCGCCCTACCATTGTGAAGAACCACCGTAAGTTGGATTGAGGGGCATCACTAAAAAGGGTTAGGGTTTTTCAATTTTAAGGTTTCACATACCTTCCGCGGCAGGAGACAAGGTATCCCTCACAATTCTTAAATCCCTTGTGTTTTAATATGAACCATGTTTGATAATGCCCATAGCCTGTTTCTGTCATAAGTGTGATTGCACTATTTTTCCTGACGAATGTTTTTTGATAGTGAATTGTAGAAAACCATTTGCATAGGAAGTTGAAGTTTTGATCAGTTTATTCATGCTCTCTAAATGTTCGATGATTTACCTGTTAGACTGATAAGGAACTATAGCATGATAGTTGGGAAAGCGCATATGTTGAGGAATGCTTAAGAAATTGGCTCCAATGTTGTAATGACTTTTGGAACTAATTGAAAGGGAAAACAGACTACGAATACCAAGAAGGGAACAGGTCAAGGAGGCAAAAAGAAAGCCGGTAATACATCTGGTACCAAGAGGCCAAGGGCTTCTGGATTTTTTGACAACACCCGGTTCTTGTCACCTGACCACCAGGACCGATATAAGAAGTGGTTCATGCCCAAGAAAATTATATCAGAGAGGCCAATCAGTGATTTCCTGCAAGAAGATTGTCCCATGAGGTGAACGATTTTGAGAAGAAAATGGGACACATTAGTGAGATTCCCTGCAGCCAGCTCCAACACAATACTGAAAGAGTTTTGTGCTAATGCTGACAAGGAGACAGTGAATGAGACTCAGAAGAGCTGGGTGAGAGGGAAGAAGGTCTCTTTCACAGCAGTCGCCATAGAGAGATTCCTTCAAACCACATATGACCCTAAAAAGAGATGCCATTTCACTGAAACCTTTAACAAGCTATAGCCTACTGAAGGACTATATAGAGAGGATATGCAAGACATTGCTGAAAGAGTCAGGATTGCCATCACTCAACCACATTCTGCTTGGAAGCCAAAGAGTGGGCAACCAGATGTGCCAGAGAAGTTGGATCAGCTGGATCTTAATGAGGAGGCCATTTTCTGGCATTCTTTCATTAATTCTACTGTCATAGCCTCCACAAATCTGAGTGATGTCAATGTTGAGAGGGCAGTATTACTATATACCCTCATGGGGGAGGAGGATCTCCACATTGGAGCTATCCTTTTTGATAGGATA